ACTTGACAAATTTCTACCTGGGTATCTAGTCACCGTGGCTGCGTGGTAACGCACATGCGTTGTGTCTCCAGGGTCTATGGTTCGATCCCCCATGCGTGCGAATTTTTCATTCTTAGATTTAAGTGTTATTGGTACATTAATTGTTCATTAGTCTTAAATATTTGAATAATCACAAAAATATAAATAAATATGTAATTATAAACAAAATTAAAAGAGCCGGGAAAAATTATATTTTCTTCTAGATTTTGAGCAGAAAACTGTCCAGTTACTGGTCAGTTACTTGCCAGTCACTGGCCAGATGATCTAAGCAGTAACTGCTCAAGTAGCGCGTTACATTACCAATCAATCACTTGCCAGATTTTCTGGTCAATTACTGCCCAGAATCTAGAAAAACTTCCCAGTGACTGGTCATTCCCAGACGCGAAAGACCAATGCTGACGATAAATTAAAGCTTGATTGAGTCTTGAACGCTCAGTGTGGGTAACCCACAGTAGAAGCAGTCTTTACATCACTGTCACTCAATATTAGTTCAATATTGGTTCAACATTGGGCCCAATGCTCGTCCCATGCTCGATTCAAGACTCGGTCAATCTTTATTAGTGAAGCTCGAACATCTAATCTTGATTGAAGCTTGAATCAATCTTTACACAATATTCAGTTTATCTTTATTTATTACCGTGTTCACTTAATTAAATAATATTATAATAATTATAATAATTGTTTCAAATAATAATAATAATTAACATTAAGTTATCAATTGATAAATAAATATTTATATTTATTTAGTATAAATATATTATTAATTGTAACTTTCATATTTAAAAAAAGTTAAATGGGAAATTTTTTTTTATAAATGTTTTCAAAATTATTATAGATAATTAATAAATAATAATTAAAATGTGCAATAAATATTCCTGACACTGCATCATATTTAATAATTTTATTAATTATGTTAATTTTTAATATTAATTTAATTAATTATTATTTATTTATTAATTAATTATTATAATTATTAATAATTATTATTGAATTAATAAATATTATTATAATTAATAATAATTATAATATTTAACATTATAATTCATTATTATTCCAAATTATATTTATTTAAATAATGTATTATTAATGTATCTAATAATAAATGTTAATAATTTTGTTACTGAATAATAAAAAATATCAATTATTTATCGATGTTTATTAAATTATTCATTAAATATTTTTAATTTTAAAATGTTTTAAAAGTTGAATTTTGTAATGATTATAATTTTATTATGAGTTATTTTTAATAATTAAAATAATTCAGGATTAGTATGTGTAAAATTTTTAGTCATAGTTTTCACTTTGCCCTTATAAGTAACAAAATATACGGCACTGGCATTAATATATTAGATTAGCCCGAGTTCTCATCTAGACTCAGTGGCCGTGCGGTTTAAGTGGTTGCGTCAAGGACTTCCGGAATGCGTCTGGGGCGCGGGGAGACGTGAGTTCGATCCCACATGCGAGCGGATTTTTTCATTATAAGCGTTTACATAAAATAATAAAATTACTATTTAATCTGTATAATTAATAAGTGTTGTGAAAAAAAACTTGTGAACTTGTTTGTAAATAATATTAAAAGTCTGTTAAAAATGAAGTTAAAAAATGTACCAATTATCACAAATTGTCATTTTTTGCTAAAATTATTTTTCAATATTATTATGTTAAATGACATTTATTGTTAGTAATATAATATTTATATGAAAATAATATAATTATTATAATAATAACTTATTGTCATTAAATATGTAAATACATATATATTAATAACAATACTGTTTATTATTAATAATAATAATTAATATATTCACGTTATATTGAATGAACGCGTGAGAAGCGTGTAAATTTGGGAACAGTGGAAGCAGTCATGTTCAGTCCTGCTTTTGACTTCCGCAGCATTGATTGAAGATTGAACGCCAGTCTTCAGGAATATTTATTGCACATTTTAATTATTATTTATTAATTATCTATAGTAATTTTGAAAACATTTATAAAAAAAATTTTCCATTTAACTTTCTTTAAATATGAATGTTACAAATAATAATATATTTATACTAAATAAATATAAATATTTATTAATCAATTGATAACTTAATGTTAATTATTATTATTATTTGAAACAATTATTATAATTATTATAATATTATTTAATTAAGTGAACACAGTAATAAATAAAGATAAACTGAATATTGTGTAAAGATTGATTCAAGCTTGAATCAAGATTAGATGTTCGAACTTCACTCATAAAGATTGACCGAATCTTGAATCGAGCATGGGACGAGCATTGGGTCCAATGTTGAACCAATATTGAACTAATATTGATTGACAGTGATGTAAAGACTGCTTCTACTGTGAGTTACCCACACTGAGCGTTCAAGACTCAATCAACCTTTAATCTATCGTCAGCATTGGTCTTTCGCGCCTGGGTAATACTTAGAAACTATTTGTTGAATGTTAGATTTGAGTTTGGATTTGAGTTAATTTTACAACTAAAAACATATTTTTTATAATAGATAATTTGAAAATATATAAATACACAAGCAAATAGTTATATTTACTTCTATAATTTAATTTTTAATTAATTTTAACTGGACAAAAAAGATTCATGAATTAAAATGCGATATATGTTAATTAATGTAAAATTTAATATTAACAAATCTAAAAATATTTGTCTTAAAATTGATAATTGACATTAAATTAATGAAAAAATTAATTTGTGTAAAAACTTCTTTGTTAATATTATAATAATATTTTGCTATATTTTGAAGGTATAGATTAAAATTAAGATGTTTAGAGTAAATTTAAAAAAGATTAAATTTTAGTGTTTATAATAATATTTAAAATTAATTTAATAATATTAATATTTTATTATGTTTATTATAATATAATATATTAAAATTATAATATGTAAAGTATTATATTAATAATATTAAATATTTATAATATTCCGATTTTTATAAATGTTTAAATTATAAATATATACTAAAACTATGTTCTTAGAAAAATTATTTTGTGTAGGGGAGAGTGGTCCTAAGTTGGCCGCCTAAGCAAATTGGTCGAAAATAGTAACAAAATGAAATTTAATCACTTCGGCAAGTATATATTAGTGTTCAGAGATCGTTTTGCTATAATTTTGTGGTATTTAGAACGTTATAGAATGACTTTTGTAGTCTTAATACAATAAATCGTGAAAAGCTGCATTTTGGACATTTCAGAAATAGCGGTCCTAAGTTGGCCACCCCCTGGTCCTAAGTTGGCCACCACTTTTTTTCGCTTGAGTATAAGGAAGAAATGCATATTCTTTTCAATTACGCAGAAATTTTACAAATTTGATACATTTAGGAGAATAAAAACGCATTATTTAACTATTTTTGTTTAGAAAATAAAGCAATATTTTATTTCATTTATTTACAGTGGTGGATGGCTGTAGAGACAGGCGTTTTTGTACTTCATTTTTTCTAATGTTTTTTAAACCATTTTTTTTTGTTTTTTGTCTTTGTTTAATTCCTACGTTACACTTTTACGGTCTTTCTCGTGATAAAAAAGAAATAAAACATAAATAAAAACAAACAAAAACAATAGGTGGCCAACTTAGGACCACTGTAGATTTTTACAAGTTTCAAATTATTACGCTAATAAAAAAAATTTATTTAAAAAATCAACAGAACCTCTTATTACAACATTAAATAAAGGAACTAGCGCACACACTTATTTAGAAATTTTTAATTATTTATCTCTTGTAGCTGCTCTCGAAAAAACAAGAAAAATCAAATTTTTTTGGTCAAAAACAATATTATTGTCCTCACAATGCGTAGAAGAATCTTAGATTATAATTAGGTCCATAAATTATATCATGGTTTATCAATATATCATACCACAAAATTATAGATTCATACCATCTCTGAGAAATGCAGGGTGGCCAACTTAGGCCCACGGCCAACTTAGGACCACTCTCCCCTACAGTAAAATATTTTTATTCCTATTAAGCAAGAACCTTAGAAATATTTTCTTGTTTTGAAAAGTTTGACACATCTGGTTTCACTTGGGATGACCAGCCATAAAGGTTTCTCGTCTATTTTATGCGTTTTCTGTACAAGTTTTTTTCATATATATTTAGTAAGAAAAAAACGTATTTAGGAATTTCTTGGATTTTCAGGAAAATTTTCAAAGAAATGCCTTGAAGCGTCAGTTGCTTTCTAGCATTTGAGAGACATACACTTAAACCGCGCTCGGCAGGACAATAATATTTAAAATTTTAATAAATAAGCAATGGTTTATCTTTTTTTTTATTTTAAATATTCTTTGTGTTTATTGTAGTGTTAAAAATAGTGTTCTTGTTTTATTCAAAAAATAAAAATTGTTCTTTACATCTTGTGTTCCAAGTTGTCTTCTTGTATTTAAGTGAAATGTTACACAAAGTGCGGTTAGAATGTGTTTAAAAAAACTTGATATATGTATATATGTTACCGGCAAAACCCGAAGACCAGGTAAATCGCGAAATGCCTAGGCAAATCGAGGAATGCCTATGATTTTAGGTAACTCCCGAATTTCCTAGACATTCTTAGTCACTTCTCGATTTGCCTAGGCATTTCGCGAATTAACTAGGTAATTCGAGAAATGCCAGAACCATTTTAGGCAAATTAGAAAATTGATTGGAACATTGGTATTTAATTTAAATTATTCAATTTAATTTATTTAAACATTTATAAGTCTATTAAAATATTATTCATTTTAAAGGAAGAAAAAAAATTATTAATTTTACATAGTCTACAAATTTTATATTATATCTCGGACATTGAATATTTTGATCTCTGCAATCAATCGAACTGCCTGTGGATTATCGAGTCATTTATTGACAAAAACAAATAGTATTGTTCATTGTAGTATAGATTCGTAGCTCGAATGAATTGTTTCCTATATTAATTAGTCTCTCGTTTAACGTCATATTGTATACTTCATTCAAAATGACTGACGAAAATTGTATTCAAGAGTGGAAGATAAATTTTTATGATACGGTTAAAAAATCAGCTCATTACAAAGTAATGTTACAAGAAGAGTATGAACAAATTTTGAAAGATGTGCAGGATGCAAAATTAAATGGTGCAAAGTGTAGTCGTCAGTATAGGAGATTAAATAGATATGACATTTTGGAAGTTGCAGGCGTGTGCAAATTAATAAAAAAGTGTAATAATGGTGAAGTGAAATATTTCGCACCATTAGAAGAAGTCTTTGAAATTTTGACATTGGCACACATGGGAACTGGTCATGGAGGAAGAGACCGCATGTTGAGTGAAACTTCAAAAAAATATGAAAATATAACTCGAGAAGTTGTTAGAATTTTTTTATCAATGTGCGAGACATGCCATCAAAAAAAGGTCAAAAGAAAACGCGGACTAGTTTCAAAACCTATACTTCACAAAGAGATGAATAGTCGGTGTCAAGTAGATTTGATTGACCTGCAGTCTCAAGCAGATGGCAATAATAAATTTATAATGGTTTATCAAGACCACTTGACGAAATTCGTTCTCCTTCGACCGCTATCTTCAAAACGTGCAGAAGAGGTATGTAAAAAAATATTTTCAACAAATGATATTATTTTATTTTTATACTTGTTTATACTTGTTTGGTTATTGGAAAGAAATTTTTTATTTGAAGTTGTTTGTTTCATTTAACCAAATTTGTGTTTCGAATAGAGAATATTGTTTGGTTAAATACAATTTGTTTGACACAACACACAAATTTGTTTGATTCAACCAAATCATTTTTATAATTAATCAATACTTTTTACAGATTGCATACCAACTTCTGGATATCTTTCTCACCTTTGGAGCCCCTGTTATTCTTCAGTCAGATAACGGTCGTGAATTTGTTAATCACATAATTACCGAATTAGCATCTCTATGGCCTGAATTAAAAATCGTCCATGGAAAACCCAGACACAGTCAAAGTCAGGGATCAGTGGAACGAGCAAATCAGGACATAGAAAATATGCTGGCAGTCTGGATGAAGGATAACAAAACAACGAAATGGGCTGAAGGATTGAAATTCATCCAATTCTCAAAAAACAGAGCACTACATTCGGGAATAAAACAAGCACCCTACAAAGCCATGTTCGGCTGTGACGCAAAAATCGGACTTTCAACTTCGACATTGCCCTGCGAAGTAATAAAAAATATTTCAACCGAGGACTATCTTCTCAACGTGCTGGAAATTGATGAACCGAGTACCGAAAATAATGAGGAGGAATTAAATTTAGAAATAAACGCAACAGCAACTGCAAACTCAGATTCATCCGAAGACAACTCTATTAATAGTAGGCATCAAGAAATTATTTGTGCAAGAAAACGAGCATTTGATGGATTGGAAAAGCAGGCCAAAAAATGAAAACGATCTCGGATAAAAATCATGAAGCAGTTAAAATTGGGGACAATGTAACTATTCCAATTCCCGACGTCGACAAAGCGAAAAGTGACTTGAGAAATGTGATTGGAGTTATTATGGAAAGCAAAGATGACCTTTATAAAATTGGAACTCGACATCGAGTAATAAATAGGCTTTACTGCAGGTAAATAAATTCAATATCTCTATTTCAAATATTTTTTGGATTTTGAAAACTTACAATTGTTTTAGGTCTGAATTCGATAAATGTAAGAATAAGTTCATTCAAGAGGAAGAAATTCTTACAAGCGAAAGTGTGTCCCTAAGATCTATTGCAACTCATCAATCGAATACATCAGGACAAGGATTTTTCCGTTGCAACTGTACAAAGTCCTGCAGTACGAAGAGATGTCTTTGTAAAAGAAGCAATGTCCTTTGCAATTCGAAATGTCATCACAGCTCTACTTGCTGTAATAAATAATCAAATTTCGTCCCCATAAATAATTTTATATATTATAAATAGATACTTTTTTTGTAGACGTTTACGTATGTAAGAATTAATTTTTTGACAGACCTATAAATGAAATTTTACAATTAAATACCAATGTTCCAATCAATTTTCTAATTTGCCTAAAATGGTTCTGGCATTTCTCGAATTACCTAGTTAATTCGCGAAATGCCTAGGCAAATCGAGAAGTGACTAAGAATGTCTAGGAAATTCGGGAGTTACCTAAAATCATAGGCATTCCTCGATTTGCCTAGGCATTTCGCGATTTACCTGGTCTTCGGGTTTTGCCGGTAACATATACACTACCGTCCGTGAGTATCAGGACGCCCCTTTTTTCATGAGTGGAGAAATTCTTAAAACATAGAAAATAAGAATGACAAAAAATTTTCGTATTTTTTTCCTGAAAGCTAATGAAATTATGAAAAGACTGACACCTGATCGAAGAATTTTCGTTGACTATTCTGTCAGATACAGAAAAAATACTGGATTTTGCATGCTTTTCGTAATTTTTTAATTTCTCGAAAACTAATTAACTTTTATTAGCGCTCTTGGTCTTGTTTTAATCTCTATTTAATGTAGAATCTAAATTATTAACTGGTAAATTGTGAAATAAATTTTTCCAAAAAAATTTGAAACCGTTTAAGTAGGATTAAAAAAATTCAAAAAATTATCATGAATATTAAGGTATTTGTCGCGCGACTGGTCACTGTCAAAAGTTTGTATCCGTTAACTGTACTTATGAAACGATTATGAATGCGAGTTTCCGAAAAACTTTTGCGGACGTACAGTTTGACACACAGATGTTCTCAAAGTATATTCATAACCTCTCGCATGAAAAACGATCGTGGCAACGTCGCAAGTTTGGCGTATGGCCGTCTTTAAAATTTCGCGCCAAAAGTAGCAGACGAGCTGTAGTATTTAAAAAGCGCTATTGCCACGTTTACGAATTCACCTGTCATTTACAATAAATGTTAAAATAATTTTTCAAGTTTGATGTTAAATATCTTTTAAACAAAACGGTGAAAAATTTTCATTTTTTTTATAAAAGTTCATTTTGGTTCAATAAATAAAACTTTAGTTTTTCTAAAAAATCTGTCGATTAGTATAAGTGCAAAAATTAAAAATCTGTGGTTTTCATATGGTTTTCCTATACCTTACATGTTAAAAATCGAAACTTTGATTTCATTTTTTGAGACTTACAGACGGTCAATTTTATTTTAATAGGCCTTATTTTGTAGATAAATATCCAAAGAATAATTATGTGAAATTTAAAAAAATTCTGTCGAAAACGAATTTATGCGACAAATACCTTAAAGTGTCAAAAAGGTCAATGTAAAATATGTTCATTTAATAGATATACTAAAATTCAAAAAGCTTTTTAATTACTTAATTATTTAATTTAAAAAAACGTTTTTTTTGTTGAAAAAGTGTCAATCTGTTTTTCAAAATTTTTTTATCCCACTTTCACAGTTTCAAATTTTTTTGGAAAAATTTATATCACAATACCATTAATTAATTTAGATTCTACATTGAATAGAGATTGAAACAAGACCAAAAACGCTAAAAGAAGTTAATTATAGTTTTCGAGAAAGTAAAAAATTACGAAAAGCATGCAAAATCCAGTATTTTTTCTGTATCTGATAGAATAGTCAACGAAAATTCTTCGATCAGGTGTCAGTCTTTTCATAATTTCATTAGCTTTCAGGAAAAAAATACAAAAAATTTTTGTCATTCTTATTTTTTACGTTTTAAGCATTTTTCCACTCATGAAAAAAGGGGCGTCCTGATACTTACGGACGGTAGAGTATAGAAAAACAGGTAATATTACGTATATTGACCATATCACATAATTAAAAAAAGAAATAATTTATGCTGAATTAATAATCCAATTTTGTTGTTATGATTACTTTTTTGTTGTCCTGACTGTTAGTTTTGTTATAAATTTAAGATCCATCAAAAGTTTATGTTTATAAATCATTCTAATTGTCAACAGAACAAAAAACTTAATAAAACAAATTGGATTGTTTTGTTCAATATTAACAGTACTTTTTTCTTGTTTGAGCAAGCGCAAATTCTAAATGCTGTAGTCGGTAGTAGTTAGTATGCTCTAAACAGGTCTTAAATTAAGACCTCCTTAACGCCTTATAGACAGCGAAAACGGTCTTATGTAGACCCTATACGATCTAAAATCGAACCTATAACAACATAACTTACACTCTTCTTGTAATATTCTTGTAATAACGCGTAATATCGAGTAATAATGCCTTATTACATCGTCGTAATACCCTAAAATATCTAGTAATACATCTGCAATAAGTCGTAATAAGCAGAAATATTGGCTAATTATTCTAATAATAGTGTAATAAAGGTACACTATCTAAACCAGTAAATACCTCCTCTAATTATTGTAATTAAATGTTTCCCTGGGTAGTAGGAACAGTTAATATACTTAATAAAGATACAACAATTATCCGTACAATACCCGTGTGGAAATTTGTCTTGGAAAACTAGAGCTTTTAATGTTTCTATAATGGTAATCCTCGCACGAATCTATCTAGAAATTTTTAATATTCTATCTAGTAATTATAGACAAAATAATTTTTGCCAAAAAAACAAATGTGAACTGAATTATTGTCTATTTTTAGGTTATTTAAAAATGCAATTTTATGTAGTTACTCTCCTTATTATGCCTAGTGGTTCTAGACAATAAGCCCTTTCTAGAAAAACAAACACGATTTGAATTAACATATTTAATCTTTATAATGTCAAAAACAATCCTTTTTTAATTTAATTTTTTCGAAAAAAATTATGGATCGATAAGTAAAAAATCGCAGCCGAGTGAGAGCTAGTGTGAAAAATTAATTAATAAAAATAATTACATTTATTACAACAGTTTTGTTTTAATATAATATAGCTATTTTAATAACTTAAAAAACTATTTCATTTTTTAATATACAAACGAATTTTTTTACACATTTCAAGAATTTAATTTTACATTATTTATTTGATGTTCACAAACTAATAAGGTTATTTCAAAATTTATATTGTAATTAGAGTAATCTCAAATATAACACCGTCCTACAAAATTTAACTTTTCTTTTCACACACAAAAAAATCAAACATTTTCGGAAACTAGGACCAAAAAAAATACCCGTGTCTGTCCGTTTTGCTGAATCAAGTCGTTTGTGGCTTCCAGGGGTGAAAAAAACCCTCAAATGAAAAGTGACAAGTTATATTTTAAAAATAGATTCAATTTGACTAAAACTCGTTACTCGGGGGTTTGTGGGGTCGCTGATTACGAATCTTAAGTAAGATTTTCAAAATTCAAAATGTAGGATCAAAATGCAGATTACAGGTCTAGAATGAAACTGGAAGATTTAATTGTGTGATTCTTTTTTGTTTTTTGCCATTTTGAATTTTTAAAATCTGACTTAAGATACGTAATCAACGACCCCAAAAAACTCCTGAGTAACGAGTTTCAGGGAAATTGAATCTATTCTTAAAAAAGTTGTCAGTCATGTTGGATCCGCCATTTTGAATTTTGAAAAACTGACATGAGATTCATAATCAGCGACCATAAAAACCCCCAAGCAACGAGTTTCAGGCAAATTAAATCATTTTTTTAAAAGTTGTCCGCCATATTGGATTCGCTATTTTGAATTTTGAAAAACTGACATCAGATTTGTAATCAGCGACCCCAAAAACCCCCAAGTAACAAGTTTCAAGCGAATCCGATCAATTTTTTTTTATTCTGACAGCCGCCATATTGGATCCGCCATTTTGAATTTTGAAAAACTGACATCGAATTCGTGATCAGCGACCCCAAAAACCTCCGAGTAACGAGTCTTAGGCAAATTAAATCTATTTTTAAAATATAACTTGGCACTTTTCATTTAAGGGTTGTTTTCACCCCTAGAAGCCACAAACGACTTGATCCAGCAAAACGGCCAGACACGGGTATTTTTTTTGGTCCTAGTTTCCAAAAATGTTTGATTTTTTTGTGTGTGCAAAATCGTGTCGGACGGTGATCAGTAAGTTTATTTTTATTCATTATTATTTACTTATCTTAATTTTTGTATTTAAGAAGGTTATTTTATATTAATTTACTTTTTTTAACAACTGATTAATATTTTCTAGAATTAATCTAGTTATTCTGTAAAGTATTTATGAGGCATTCCAGGCCAAACCGAAATATCGTTTAATTTCACATTTTTGATTTGGCTCAAACATTTTTTATCTTTTAGTACTAGTTGAAAAAGAGCTTCATGATTTTTTTCAAATTTTTTTACCCAGCCGTTTACAAGATATGAATTTTTCAAAATTTTACGTTTAAAAAAAAAATTTATTGAATGCTCATAACTTCTACAAATGTGAATCAATTTTAAACTTTCTTATATGAAAATTGTTTGTTTTTTCAATAACTTTTCAAAATTTTTATAAAAAAAAGTTTTCAAAAATTTTTTACTGCATTTTTAAAAATTTCAAGATTAAAATTTAA